GTTTGGCTTTATAACAAGGAATTTTTTCTACTTAATCGATGATACTTAGCTAACAATTTTTTTTCTACTAACCTCTGTTTTTTAAAATACACGGCAAAAAGAAAAATAATGAGGTATTTCACTAAAGAAACTAATCAGAAGTAAAAAATGAAACGAATAAAAATTTCATCTGCTTTTCTTTGATCTGTGTTTTTGTATGATATCCAAGGGTTTCTATTCTGTTTTTTTCTGTTCAGTGGGCGTGTCTTGATGCTTAAAGCAGCGGCTGTTCGTCATTGGTTATCTCAGTTCCTTTGTCAGTATCATATTATCAACCCAAGACAAATGTCTTATCCTGTCGCATGGCCAAAATCGTCTTGAGCTCTCAACATTTTTAGAGATTAAACCACAAATCACCCGCTCAAATCTCATGAACTCCTAATACTTCTAATATTGATTTTTAAGTAAAAACGCACACACATGGGCAACATATAGCGTACAGGCGGACAAGTGAAACTCTTTCTAAAATTAACCAATAATAACATCGTTCAAAGAGACAATCGCAGTGATATCAATATATGTATAGAAACCATTTTTTTTTATCATTTGACAATAAATCCACTAAGACACACGGAGTTGCTGAAAAGAATATAAGAAAAAGAAAAAACATTATTAAACAAAAATAAAAGAACATGAATTAAGAAAACAGAAGATAATAAGTGACATTGCATTTAAATTTCCTCCCAAGCAAGGCACTAAAGCCACTAAGACGCAAAGGGGTTACTGAGTGTTAGAGAATATGAGAAAAAAAACTATTAAAGAGAGAGAACAATAAAAGAACAAGAATTAAGAAGATAGAAGATAACGATTGACATTGCGTAAATTGGCACCATTTGTGGAGGCATTTAAAAAAAAAAAAAAAACAAAAAAGGAAAGAAAGGAAAAGAGAGGCGAAGACCCAAAGCGTGGATGATAAGCAGAACATCCACGGCTAAGAGACAATGGATAAAGGATATTTTGATAAGTAACAAATGGCGAAAGAGTGTCATTACAATGACAAAAAAATTCTAAGTGGATAAAGGAATCAGGTGTGTTCTGGCGACGGGCTGTGTGTTATCGGGGGATACATAAACAAACCGCTAATGCGGGAAAACATCTGATTAAGCAAAACCACAGACCGACTAGCCAAAAAAAATCCAATTGAAAATGTTATTTTGATAATTGACAAAAAACAGGTGAACTACAGGGCTTTGGATAGATATGAAAAAAAATTAAAAAAGCCAGCCGCACACGAGGTGTCCACTGACCGTTTTTTTTCGACAGAACATCTTTGGCCTGCGATAATAAAATTATGTTATCAGAAATATGTACCGAAAAAAATGAATGGGAATTAGTTTTTTTTTTTTTCGAGGCGACGGACGATTGGCCGTGTTAAAAAGACCACCCATTCTGATAATTAGCGATAAGATGACTGACGAAAACCAGGTGAGAACAAGAGTTATGACCACCACCGATCGTATTGTTCTGTTTGCGGCTAGAAAAATGATAACTGCGATTAAAAAGAAAGAAAAGGAAAAAAAAAAGATAATTTTTTTTTAAGCAAGATATTTTTTTCCTGAAACAAAGCCCGCGGGATCGTGACACGCCCGACTAAGACATCATTGGTCGAGTGGTGATCACGTGACGCACGGAAGAAGGCTGTCGCCGCCCATCTAGAGGATGGGTATGAGAGGTTGCTACGAAGAAGTGGGAGGGCAGTTCACGCCCCTCTGAAGTATGGTGAGAAGGTGGGAGTAAGGAAAGGTTCCCAAAAATGGAAAAAAGTGGAAAATTCCTAACCAAAAATAAAAGAGGTGGATATGTATTTAGAATTATCGAGAACCCCCGACGCCGACAAACCCACCCCGGTTTTGGTCGGCGTCCATATAAGCAAAGCCGCAGCGAGCAGAAAAATCAGTTAGAGTTCCAGTTCGAGTTTCAGAGTTGAGTTCAGGGAGAGACAGTTCCCAGAGTCAGTTTCCAGTTGAAGCCGCCTCGCAGATAGCTGACCAAGATTCACGCAAATTCCGGACTCCTCTTCAATCCAAGAACAATTATTTTGAAGCGACTTAGATCCAGACCACCAAAATAAGTTTTTTTCGACTTTCGTCCGAAAGACACACCGAAAAACCAATTTCTTAAAGAGCAAACAACTTGAAGCGTTAAAACTCGCCTAACGGAAAACAACGTGTCACAATCCATAGAACGGGTCGGGAGATAGACGCAGTCCTATGTATCCAACAACTAGACATAAAGTTTGTTATCTTTTTTTTTGATACTTTGAACTTTTTGAGTTTTCATTTTATTTTCTTTTATGCATATTTGTGCGGTGTCACCCCCGTTTGAACTCGATTTGCATTACGGCCCCAACTACTGATTGATCTCGTCTGCCTAAGATCAATTCACAACGTGGGTAGGCAGACTGGAGATCAATGCAGTTACTTTGGTAACCAGGCGTTGGAAGCGAGTTGGGAACGACGAGGCTGATATCAAATCTAACCAGATTCCCATCCGAATCACCAAAAGGTTAGAACGTCACATTTGGGTGCCGCGACCGATACCAAGCCAGTTGGTCGTCACAGGACGAGACAACACGACTGACGCGACAGGCGGACGTCACGTTTGGAGCGGCGACACCCGAACGAAGCAGCGAGGAGCGAACAGCTGGCGCTGTGTTAGGGACGTCACAATTGTTGCTGTTTGGGGACGTCAAATTTGGTGCCGTGGTAGATCAGGATAGAACGTCACAGTTGGCGCTGCGACCAGGGAACGACGTCGAAACAAAACGAATAAATTAGCATACACGTTATATGTTATATATAGGCATTCCATATGCAAAATTATGAGATTTTGCCGTCAGTCTTGTATTTGCGATTAAATTCATTAAGTTTATTTACATATATTTTAAAAAAAATCATTTTCAAGTTACCATAAAATATTTATAAAAAAACTTCATACGGAAGTTCCGTTAATTGTTTTATTTAAAGATGACTGAAGTTGAGATGCCAAATGAAAAAAAATGATATTTTTTTACAAAAAATATTTTGGTATGAAAATCTATTTTAATTTTTTATATAAATTTTTGTTGATTTTTGTGGTTAACTATTTGCCCATAGCTGGGACCCTAACAGGTTTTTAATATTTTATGAATATTTGTCTAATAATTTTTATAACACCAGCAATTAAAAGGTGGTTCCAAAATCTCCTCAAAAATTCCTGATCAGAGGCCTTGCTGCTGGACGTAGTTTATCGTCTTACTAAAGGACGGTTTTATTTTGGCATTTCACTATTGAAACATGATTTATTGTCAAAAACTTCTTGTCATAGCCATTGGGATAGTATTTGTTGTGGTCTGTTGGGGGCCAGAAAGAAAGACACGGAGAGAAGAAGGTAGTATTGAAATAACAGAATATATATACAAAATAAACTATATTTTAATCAGCAGATAGAAGAAAAATTTTTCGAACTATCAGAATTTACATTCGAATAAAATCCCGTAGGAAGTAAAAAAAGTTAGTATTTATGAAAGGAGGAAGGGTTCATTCTAATGTAGATAGGTCACCATAACAGTATTTGAGCTTAGAATGAGGCTTATAATGTGGACAAAGAATTCTTATTTTTCACTCTGCGAAGCAATCAAATTGTGGTTCTATGGGATGAAGGCTTTTATGAACGTGAAAATAGTGTAAAAATAGGTTGTAATGAAACAATTGATTATTGTAACAACTTATGCGCCAACACATCCAAGCAATTTTAGAACAAATCTGATCCTATCATATACAATGTCTTGCCACTTGATTAAAAAGATGACCATCTCTTCACCACCATTATATGCGGAAAATAGTTATATATAAATATATGAAAATTCGATATTTCACATATAGAAAGTTACAATTTAACTCTTGAAAGTTTTTTTTTACTCAAAGACGAAATCATTTTATACACTTAACTGAAGACGATATACTGATGGCTGTGACCTGGTCACACATTCTCAGGAGGATATGACGTTTTTAATGTACCGGCTTTCTGCAGTTTTAACTGATTTGGTTTGACAATAAATTTAAAGAAAACTTCTTTCATATTTCAGCCATCACCATATGAATTTTATGCTCTGCCTAAAACTTATGTTGAAGACGCGTGGTAAGGAAAATAATTTTGATTTATATTCATACATCAGATACATATTTAAACAGTTACGTAAAAATTTCGGGCGGTCTATAGGTGGCAATTTAATGGATGGAGGCATGTAAATATTTTAGGCTGTATATGTATTGAAATAAAATGGTAAAATTATAAATTAGGAACATTTTTGATACCAATTTTTTCTATTTTGGGTAATTGAAATATGGAATATATATTGACCTATCGATTGGTCTATAGAGCGACAATTGACAGATGAAATATTTTTTTGACGATGTCATTGATTTTTTGCCAACATGTTACCAAGATATATTATTTATAAAAAGTTATTTTTTTTTCATTTCAAAATAAAAAAAGATAATCTTAATGTTAATCACATTTTTTCCTTTATATAAATTTTTTTTTTTTTAACTGTTTCTGACAAAGTTTAAGTATGTCTGGGGTTATTGTTTAAAGCAAATATATTTGTTTTATAAAATCTTTTTCCATCTCATCCTCTACAGGTAATTCAAATGAGATGCCAGATTTATAGATCATCTTCGTGTGCAATTTAGACGACAATTTATCCATCGCTTCCTGTGTATCTGTGCGTGTATGTTGGAATATTTTCCTTTGTTTGACGTTAGGAGGAAAACCCGTACGCCATCAGTATTGCTAATCAGTACACGCTTGTTTTTATTCAAATTTGTTTTTTATCACTGGGCAAAAATCGTCTTGTGATAAAAAAAAGTACGTTTAGAGACGAACAGTTTTGCTTTTGCTGTTGTTGTTGTCTTAATGGGCGATTATTTTTACTTTATTTGGAGGTTTCTATATTTCTGTTTTGCTCATTAGAGAAACACTTAAAGGCGCTGAGATTGATTTCCGCTGATGGAGAAAGCAACTAATTTTCCTATTTCTAGAAAACTCCTGGGAAAACTTTGGCGGATCAGAAAGAAAACAGTGACGATTGGAAGCCGTGGGCGACTAAAGACACGTGAGGATTTAAGGGTGTAAGCTTTGATTTCAGAAGGGAATCAGGAAAACAATGAAATGACTTACTTATCCGGGAAAGAAAAAGCAATAAACATTAACAAACTAAAATTTGTTTTCTCAATAGATAGATAGATAGATAGATAGATAGATAGATAATTAAGTTGATAGATAGATAGATAATTAAGTTGATAGATAGATAACTGACGATATAGACAGAAAATAATAGTAATAATAATAATAATAGATAGATAGATAGATAGATAGATAGATAGATAGATAGATAGATAGATAATAAGAGATCTGATAGGTAGGGATTTAGATAATAAAATATTTCATTAATATAATATATATATATATATATATATATATATATATATATATATATGTAGATAGATAATTTATAAGAGACAAAAAGATACATAATCAAGGACGAGATAGACCAGGTAGATAGATACATACATAATTTCTTTCGATTGATATATATATATATATATATATATATATATATATATATATATATATATATATATATGAATAATATATTGCTTTTTGAAAAAAACTTGGGTATTTGGCTTGTAATCGAATAAACCAGTACCCAAGGAAAAATGAGGAAAAAAAAATGAACGAAGAAAATGAAATTGAAGGGAAAACAATCGTCCAGAATTCAAGCTCAGAGTCCAAAGAAAAAAAATCTCCAAGAACAGAGTAAAAGCAACTACGTGGGTCCAAATCAATATTATGAAGTAGAACAAGCCTAATATAAACAAAAATTAACGCAGGCTATCTATATCATATCTATCTATCTATATATATATATATATATATATATATATATATATATATATATATATATATATATGTGTGTGTGTGTGTGTGTGTATAGATAGATATATATATATAGAGATAGATAGATAGATAGATAGATAACAGACTAAATAGACAAATAGATAGATAATAACTGGCAAAATAACTATTTGCCGATCAACCGACACTGAAGCGGCATTTTACCAATTATCTCCTTGCACACAATTTCAGTCAAAAACCCCCCGCTTCAAACTGATATCCACCGTAAGACGATGAAGAGACGAATCCCGCCGGGTCCTTGGGAATGGATAAACAACATTATCGTTTGATTTCGATTAAAAATAAAATCTTAAAAATTCATTTAACTTAATTGGGAAAAATAACAAATGCTTCTTGCAGCTTCCAGACATTAAACATTTTAGTTTCTGTGAGAGAAAGTTTTGAATATGATTTCTACTTTGACTTTTGAAATATTGTGGGACTCAAATATTTAGATGAATAAATAACATTAAACGATATGCAATAACATATGAGAGAGGAGTGCGAAAAAAGATAGATAGATAGCTGGAGAGGAGAGAGAGAGAGAGAGAGAGAGAGAGAGAGAGAGAGATATATAGATAGATAGATAGATAGATAGATAGATAGATAGATAGATAGATAACAACAGACGACATCAATTGATAGATCGATAACAAGAGCTGAGATAAATATATAGTCAGATAAAAAGAGATAGATAGATAGAAAGATAGATAGATAGAAAAGCAAGAGACTAAGATAGATAGATAATGAACAGACATAGATAGATAGATAGATAGATAGATAGATAGATATGAATAGATAGTTAGATAAAGCAAGATACTGAGATAGATTAGATAGATATATAGATAGATATGAACATAGATAGATAGATAGATAGATAGATAGATAGATAGATAGATAGATAACAAAAGCAAGAGACTGACATAGATTAGATAGATAGATATGAATAGACATAGATAGATAGATAGATAGATAGATAGATAGATAGATAGATAGATAGACAAATCTAGATAGATAGATAGATAGATAGATAGATAGATAGATAAGGACACTGAGATAGATTGAAGAGGGCAATCAAAAAGAAAATATAGATAAAATATAATCAAACTCAGATAGCTATAAATATATATGCAGCCATATATTTGAAAATATATAAATATAGTATATATATATATAAAACAATAAGTAGCCATATTAAGTCTACGAAAGATAAGAAATCGACTTAATGACGAAATGTATAATTATATAAAACAGATTAAACACACACACACACACACACACACACACACACACACACACATATATATATATATATATATATTGTATGTTATTTTTTCTCATTGGATTTTATGCTCAATATCAGTGATAGAGTTAAATAATATTAAAAAATAATATCCATATAAATGACTAATATATATATATAATATATATATATATATATATATATAGAATATATATATATATATATATATATATATATATATATATATATGTATGTATATAATTTATAACCCGAAGGGTTCATTGTTTCTTGAATATTGACAAACTCATTTCCATACAACTGAATATATATATATATATATATATATATATATATATATATATATATATATATATATATATATATATGTTATGTATGTATAATATGTATATAATTAGGGTATTGAAGGGTTTTGAATTTATTTTCAATGTATTAAAATATTCATGTAAAATATCGAATTCTGTTTATTTAATTTTTCAGAAATTTAAAATTTTATCTCTTTATCTCTCTCTAAAATCTATATATATATATATATATATATATATATATATATATATATATATATATATATATATATGTATGTTTATGTATGTTTGTAAATAAAAATATATATGCATATATGATTATATATACCATGTATATGTTGTATGTATATATATATATATCAAATATATATATATATATACAGTACGTTTTAAAAATAAAGCAAAATGAGAATTTTTAAAATCCACATTACAAATTTTTAAAAACGTTTGCGGTTTATTTCAAATTTTTAATATCCATTAAATAAATTCGTTGATACAATTACAAGTTTTTCTAAATATTCTTTTTTTATTTATTATTTGTATACATGTTTTTTATTTTTACATTATGATCACAACTTAAATTGGTTACTATAGATATTTTATGTGTTTTTTTTTTTAAAATATGATTCAAAATTAGACACAGAAAGTTTTATGTTTTAAAACTGAAAATTAAAGTTAGATTTTTTTAATTATAAAAATTAAACTTAAAATCCAGAGTTTTTGTCCATTATCAAACGATGTTAGAATATATTCTTTCTAAGAAATTAACTTAAATTTATAATATAAACAATTTTTATATATTTTTTTTTAATTATTGAAAATAAAATATATATATATATATATTTTTATATATATATATATATATATATATATATATAATTTATAAATACATTTTTCAATCAATCAATTCATTCCTTTGTAAACAAAAGGAATGCAAAAAACAAAAATTTATCATTATAAAAAATTCCAACTGATATATCATTATATTTCAACCCTACATTCCAAGTGTCGGCCATAGGAAAAAAATTTCAATTAACAGAAAATCATTTATAAAATAAAATTTTTCGTCATTTTTCTATTTAAATTTTTTATTGAATTTTTTCGAATGTGACATCTTCAATATATAAAAAAGTTTACATATATATTAAATTGAAATAAGATGATGAAATTTACTTCTATATTTAAATATTTCTTTCCTAAAAATTACGTTTAATTTATATATATGAATTTTCTTCTATAATTAATTGTTCTATAATATTTATAAATATCAGAATATTAATTGAATTTAAATTTAAAATTTTACAAAATATTTTTAAATAATTAATATAAATATGATATAATTTTTAAATTATAAACTTATATTTGAAAATATATTAATATTAAATTGATAAATGAGATTGATCATATTTAAATGAAATTAATATATTAATTTTTACTCAATTATTTTTAATATAACTTTTATATATATATAAAAGATGAAAATATTAAATGGATTAATATTTAACATTTTTTTTTTAAAAAAAAAATGCATTAATTTCAAAATTATTCCTCCCATTTTAATAATAATTTTATTTCTCCTTTTTCCAAAAAAAAATGTTTCAAAGACATTTTTATCATTCTTCTTCTTTGCACAGCTATTGATAGGTTTCATCTATGTCATTTCCATTTTGAATCGTCGCGTTTATCTATTTTTTTTTCCACCACAACCACCTTAGGTTTTTAATCCTCTTTATCTTAATAAATAAGTTCAACCAAAATCCTTATTATAGGCCAATTTTTATTAAATCTCCTTTTTTTCTTTTTTTTTTTTTTTTTTTCTTTTTTTCAGATTTTTTCAAATTTTCTGTGAAGAAAAAGGGAATTCATTCATTTTTTAGTAAATGTATTTTGAATTGATAAGTGAAAGGGATTGTACTTTTTATGGACAAAATGACTATAAAAACACACAAACACACACACACACACACACACACACACACATGAACACTTTTACTAACATATATATATATATAGATATATATAAATATATATAATTTTTGAACAAATTGATTTCATTCTTCAGAGGCGACAGGCTGTTTCATGCTGGACTTGTAAAAAGTCAAATAGCTTGATTGTTCTGAATTGATGTTGAAATTAATAATGTTTTTTTCATTTATTTATATTTACATACAATCTATCTCTGAAATTGAGCATTTTATTATAATTAAATGTAGAGCACCATAAAACTATATTTCTTCATCATAATATATATATATATATATATATATATATATATATATATATATATATATTATATAAATAATATTTAAAAAATTAATGGAAATAAATTTTTTTTTGAAACCTGAAAATTAAATCAGAAAAAATACAAATTTATAGGTCTGATAGAATATTAGTGATTTGAGTCTTTTATATTATATTCTTACTCTGTTTTGGACATTGAGTTCTATGTGGATTTAATTTCTTTAGGAATTTATTATAATATGTATGCAATACATGAAAACAGTTGAAACCGAATCAAAACAAAATAAAATATGAAATAAACAATTATTCTTAAATGCCTATAATTGAAACAGAAGCTAAAAGAAACTTTAATACTTTTTTTTTCAAATTTTACAAATTCATTTTGATTTTAATGATGGATCGGTGCGATTTATTTTGGCATTCTTATATATATAACGAGTTTATCGTTGCTAAAAAAAATATTTCCATATAAACAAAAATAGAATATCATCAATGTCAAATTTGTGTATTCATTAATATATTTAATTTAATTGTCATCTTTGATAATGGCTTATTTAAATGAAATTCTAAAAATAGGAAAAAAAAATATAAATCAATAAAAATTCAACATATTTTTTTTTTTTTCATAAATTCAAAATAATTTATCAGACGATATGAAAAGAATTTTCATAAGTCAAATAGACAACAAATTGTTATAATTATTTTTGAAAAATTTGGATCATCATATATATATATATATATATATATATATATATATATATATTGACCACTTCTAATATCTATCTATTATTATATATATATATATATATATATAGAAAAAAATGAGAACAAAACTTTATGTTTTAAATTCCAAAAAACAGAAAAATTTAATTAAAAATGGGGCTCAATATCGAGAATATTTTTTTTTTAGGATTTTTTTTCTTTTTTATGTGTCATGTCCTTTCAGGACGTAGGCGATCATAGCTCTCCACCTCCCTCTATCCCTTGCAGCTCTCAACAAGTTCCTTCCCTCTGCTTCCTCCCCCAGACCACGTTCTGTCATCCACTTGCTTAAGCCCGCCAGGTATGTCATGCGTTGTTTTTTCCTTGTCTCTCTTTCCCTCTATTCGACCCGTGAGTATCAGATTCTCCAGTCCCTCCTTCCTCATTATGTGTTCCAGAAACTTCAGCTGCCTCTTTCTGATGTTAAGTCTAAGCCTCCTCCTTGTTTGCATCCTCTTTATGACCTCATCGTTGCTCACACTCTCGGTCCATGGTATCCTCAGCATCCTTCTGTAGAACACATCTCCATCGCCTCGAGTCTCTTTGAGGAAATCGTCCAACATTTGCTGCCGTAAAGAAGGAAAGATGTCACGTAACAGTTCTGTATTCCTTTCTTTGTTATCAAAGATATTCTGTCCTGCAATACTCTGCCCAGCTTTTGGAATGTGTCCTTGGCCATCCCAACCCGTCTTCGGATCTCAGTGTCGCACTTACCATCCTCTGTCAAGACGCTTCCCAGATATTTAAACTTCGGCGTCTGCTTGATTCTAGTGTTCCCGATCTGCAAATCGCATTTTGGGCTCATCCTTTTACTGATGACCATGCATTCTCTCTTGTAGTTTATACTTAGTCCCTTTTTCTCGCTCTCCTTCGCTACCTTCTGTAGGAGATTTTGTAATTTCTGTTCCGTGTCTGCTATCAGTACTGTGTCATCTGCGTATCGTATGTTGTTAAGATTGTGGCCGCCAATGCTAAATCCCGGTAAAAAAATAAATTTTCAATTCTCTCAGAATTTACCTCGCTGTATAGGTTGAATAGGTCTGGTGAGAAGACGCATCCTTGCCGAACGCCACTTTCTATTTTTGTGTATTTACTGAACACATTCCCTATGCAATCGCTACACAATGTCAATTACATTTCTACATTATAAATGTGTCTACACGGGCGATGGTAGACTACTGGCGAATGAGCGATTAATTTAATTTCAAAAGCAGAATACTTACTCTTTTGTTAGAAATTACAAACAATACATTTTTTAAAATTACCAACAATACATTTTTTAATTTACCAACTGTTCATTTTTTAAATTATCACCAATACATTTTTTAAAAAATTACCAACAATACATTTTTTAAATTACCAACAATACATTTTTTAAAATTACCAACTATACATTTTTTAAGTTACCTACTGTACATTTTTTAAGTTACCAACTGTACATTTTTATATTATCACCAATACACTTTTATAAAATTGCCAACA